GTTTTATAACTCACTTTATGCCCACTCTAGTTTTTGGAATATATCATTATTTTCAAGAACTTACTTGGCACCTGAAGAAAAAGATAGGACAAAAAGGTAAAGAGTCTTTTTTTTTTTTTTTTTTTTTTAATTGGGAGATATCAGTCTTTCCTGAAATCTTTTCATCAATATAATAACACAATCTGAATAAGGAGCAGAGCAAAAGCTCGCAACGTGATCAGTTGCTTTTTTTCTAAAGTTTTCTGGTAAATGGAATTTCTTTTGGTTCATTGTCTTAATTAATTGGTTCTACTGCCTTCCTCATCCCTGATTGCCACTTCCTATTACTGTGTTTTACGGTCACCGCTTGGCCTCACAGCTCTGTCTTTCCCTCCGCTGGACTTTCGTAGCTCTCTCCTGCTATTTGAAAACATCCGCTCTGCTCTCTCTTCCCATGTGATTAATTTTAGAAGTATCTCACCTCTTTAAAGAGGGAGGAGAGAGAKATGAATTCATGTCTTTTCTGAATAAGCACTGCAATTGGGCAGCATGCTGTAAGATAATTATGAGAAATCAACAGAAATTGGGGCACCTTAATGAAGTCTGTGTTACACATTCCAGTAAACAACAAGATAACGTTACTAAAACATCTCTTACTTATAGAATATAAAATTTGGATTAAATTTCAGAGGGTTACTACAGATTGTCAGTAAGATGCTCCAGATAAAYAAAACTACATTTTAAAAATCTTTTCAAGAATAAGAAGTACATTGGAATTTGGAGCAGCTTCTAAAATAATAAAAATATGGGGGAAAAAAAAACAGTCTTAACAACCATTATTTTTTATGTAGTTTTTTCTCCCACATGAGCACATACCAGAATGAAAGCAGAAAGGCAATGAACGGAGTTTTTCATCAGGAGAAGATTCCTGCAAGGCTGGTGCAGTGAAACCAGGAGGAGGGAATGTGCAGTTCTGGCCATGGAAGGWGTGTGGGTGTTTCGGACATGCCTTGGACTCCTGCTCTTTGGCAAAGTCCTGTACTCTGGGCCCCTAAAGGCACCCAGAGGTCCTCCCACGTCCACTGTGTTTCATCAGCTCCCAGGTGTGTCTGGTGGGCACAGAACCCTCTCTGTAGTTATCAGCAGCAAACTCAGGGGTGAAGATGACATTGCACTGCAGTACCTTCCCTTCACTGAAATACTTCTGTTATTGCTAATGTCAGAAAATCAAGATAGAACTTAAATGTATGGCATAAATATTTAATATCTGTGCCTGCCCTATATCCTTATGTAATAAACAAAAAGAAATATCGAAATGAACTCCATGGATTTGGCYGTTACACAAAGTTTCCCCTTTCTACTCAACTGGATCTAACTCATCACCTTGTAGGAGGGAAAAAATATAAGACAAAAGGAGTAACAGAAGGACCTTGAAAATCTTAGTCTAGGTTCACTTTTCTCAGTAAAAGATTTCTTTAAAGGTAGGAAAATATGCTACTGAAATACAAACTATAAAACTAGGCAGTGTTGCTTGACCTTGTTTTGATTCAGCTCCACACAAAACAAATTAGTGTAAGGATACCTATATAGAGGCTTATTAAAGCACAATATATTTCAAAAGATAAAATCTTAACCAGATAGAGACCAAGGCAAAAATGTCATGACAGTGTTCATTAGAAAAATATGAATTTCTAATAAAATTAAAGGCATACAAAACATCATAGAATAGCTTCTCTTTTGTCAGACGTTTCATATTAAAAAAAAAAAAAAAAACACACACAGCTATAGAATTTTACAAATTGGGTAAATACCACCAGAATCTGTTTGGTAAAAATATGAAATAAATCAGCTTGGAACCTGTAAGAACCTGCTACTATGCAATACTACAATTAAATACAGCAACTTAAATTATTCTTAATCTTTATCAGCATTTTGTCCTTATTTTCCCAAGTTTGATTATCTGAGTGGTTATCTGAGGAATTTTCTTTGAACTAGCCATAGACTTAAGCATGTTATGCCTGGACTCCCCAAACAGTGAGAGGTAAAATTCACTTTCCAGTTGACCACATCAGTTCCTCTGGCTTGGTAGCATCACATTTATCTATCTTTGGAAGCCTCTAAAAATTTTAATTAAATAAAGAGTACTCACTGAAGCTATTTAAAGCCATGCTATGCTTTGGATCTGTATGAATAGTTTCCAAGGAATTTACCAAAATTTCAGGACTAGGGTGTTAAATTGGACTGCGTCAATAAATGCACCTGCTATTATTACTGCTTGACTGTACAATGGACAAAAATTCCTAATATAGCCCCTGAAAAGTTAGAATAATGACTTTTATTTTTTTTAACACGGTAGCAGCTTGTCCTCCCCTCCCCTCTGCTTCTCTACCCACTGCTCATGTCTTGCTCATTTGTTCTACTTKCCGAGTTTCTGCTTCCGATTCATTGTGTACAGTTGCTTCAAGTAGCAACGGTAAAACTTGCAATATAATATTTTAACTCGCTGTAATATTAGTCATAC